AGTATGTTGTTTACACGTTATCTTCATATCTATAAAGTTAAGCTTGCACTTTAACCAGTTTTGTAAAATACATGTACATCTCTCAGAATAAGATGTTAAGAAATTAAAAGCAGTCCAGGAAAACAATTGACACTCAAGTAAAACTGTGTTCAGTTCAGAAAGACTACTCTTGAGACCGTATTATCCGCTACGGTAATGTGTTTCAAATGTAGTGTCCGGCAACTGACAGCAAGCCCGTCTATTACACCTTTATTTGCAAAGAAAACTGAAAAAACAACTGTTGTTACAGACAAGAGTGATAAATAGCTTTCTTGAAAAACACAGAGAAAACGTTATGAAAAATGAGTACTCACTATAGATAAATAAATCTTTTGTGATCAACGAAAATGAAGTATGACCGTATACTGGTGGTGATCATATAAAGGATTATTCTTAACTATTTTGCCTAAGTCATGTTTATGGGAAAAGGAATGTTTTATTTACGACTTATTGTCTGACGTGATGTCACAGAGTTAATATCCAGTTTCTGCACCCAAAAGATGTTTTTAACTAGACCGTTTGAGTTCTTTATAAACTACTTTACCTTAGATGCTCATGACTAAACTTCATCTGAATTCGTAGAGAAACAAAAAGCCTGAAGACGGTGTCAAAGTGTTAGCTTATTAAACCTAATTGCACCATAATATTCCTAAGCTTATTAACTGGTATCAGTCAGCCAACCTTGAATTGCACTCTTCTGTTCAATGGTTTTACTTTGAGATAAGATTTTTGCGATGACGATATAGAGATTAAAAATGGCTTACAATATACTACTAATTGCAAAAATAGTGAGACGTTAAGTTATCACGTACGATAACCTGAACCGCATTGCATAAAATAATTTTCGAACTTTGCAAACTAATTCCTGGGTAATTTTAATTATTTGATAGTGGCTAACAGTGGAATCCAGGATAGGCCTTTCGTCCTATTTAGGACTTGTCAGCTGGACCTACCTGCATCCCAGTGAGTGATAGTGTTCCCATAGACACTCGATCCCCATAACCAACGCACTGGGTCACAAAGTGTTATCGACTAGGCCGCTAAAACACAAGAGCCACCCCATGTACAAACAGCATGTTATTATTATCACTTATTGATACTTTCAATTTTACACTGTCAAGCTAGATCCAACTGATTAAGCTCTGTTGTTATATGAGCTCCTATGTGGATGCCAAGTAAATTACAACAAAATGAAAATTCAGGCACTACCGAGGCATTTGGGCGGTAGCCTATATGACAACAGAGTTCAATCAATTTGATCCAATATAACAGAGAGAAGTTACAAGTGTCAAAAAATAATAATTCCTTAGTGATTAACTGACTGCTTACACAGGAGAAATTAATCAATGAAGTCATTAAAATTAAATGAATCAAAACACTTGTTAACTTCACTGGTGTCATTACTAAAGTCTCATTTTATATCAACAGATTCAGGTATCTCAGTGATTTCAGAAACCGAGGTCAGAGTTTAAAGTAATTTGCCCGATTGCTGTCTGAATAATGCATTTCTTTCTTTGACACAGTTGTATTTAAGATGATAGAGAATATTTGTAGCTAGGAAAGATGATTTTCGATGGTGTTGTAACATAAGGTCGAATGTCCGACTACAGTCTCTGCTCTAACATTCAGATATTAAGTTATTAAAATGTTTTGGATGAAAAATACCATGAATAATGAAGAAAAGTGTTCTTTCGATTGGTATTATATATCAAAGAGTTATTGCAGTAAGCATAAACTAGCATGGGTAACTAGTTAACTAGTTATTAACTGGTAATAAAGAAAGATAAAGAGAGGAGGTTGAGCATAGAGCTAGCAACCCTACCCCGTAAAACAAATCTAACCGCTAAAGAAACAAAATATAAAAAATAAAACCAATATTATTCCTCGCTGGAATCGGAGAGGCGAAAGGACACCAGTTGGTGGAAGCCTTCATGAAGCCAATCGGCCGATATGTCTTCTCCCGATGAAAGCGTGGGGACATGGAATGTTCGAAAAATGTTTGAACCTACCAAGGCAGCCCAGATTGCAAACGAGATGAGAAGGTATCGCATTGAAGTGTTAGGAATTGGTGAAAGCAGATGCAGTGGAAGTGGAATCTCCAAACTGTCAACTGGAGAGTCAATAATCTACTCCGGTCACCCAGACGACAACCACGAGCATACTGAGTTTTGGAGTGGATATCATGATGTCTCCAAGAACATCGAAGGCTCTCATGCAGTGGGAACCGGTCTCCTCCAGGATCACAACAGCAAGGTTCAACTCGAAAGGAAGGAAAGTCACAATCGTACAATGCTACGCTACGCACCTACAAATAATGCAGACGAAGAGAAGAAGGAGTACTTCTACAGACAACTGCAATCAGTAATGGACAAGATCCCACTCCAGTTGGCGACATCAAAATTCTAACGGGTGGTGTGACATGAATGCCAAACTGGGAGCGGACAACACAGAAAGAGAACTAACCATGGGTCGAGAAGCACCCGGTAAAATGAACGAGAATGGAGAATTGTTTGCAGAATTCCGTGCATTCAACGATTTGGTGGTTGGAGACACTGTGTTCAAGCACAATGATATTCACAAAGTGACATGGATTTCACCAGACACCAGGACACACTAAAAGTCAGATCAACTTCATCTCAATGTGAAGAAAGAGGAGATGCAGCCTACTTGACACGAGATCAAGAAGGGGAGCAGATGTAGCTTCACACCACTCACCATCTAGTGCAACGAACCTTCCAAATCAAGTTGAAAGACTTCAAAGAAGTTGGTGATAGACCACAGTTCAAGTTCAACACCCAGAACGGAAACTGAAGGACGAAACTACAAGGGACATCTTCACGGCAGCCATCAAGACAAAATGGGAGATGTCGAGCAACATCCCTGAAAAAACCTGTGTAAAAGAACACTGGAACTCTTTGAAAGCTATGTGGAAAGAGACCCGCATAACCGTATTAGGAAGGAGGAAGAAAGAAGACGAGGAATGGATCTCGACGGACACATGGAAGCTGATGGAGGATAGGAAGCTAGTGAAGCAGAAGATGAACCAGTGGAAGAATGCACAACGAGAAGAGGAACTGAATACAATGTATAAAACACTGGACAAAGAAGTGAAGAAGAGTGTGCACAAAGACAAAAGACACTGCCACGACACACTGGCAAGTGAAGCAGAACAGGCTGCAGGTAGGAGAGACAGAGACCTGATAACATTGTATCAAATAACCAGGTTACTATGTGGGAGGGAAGAGATCAACACAGATGAAACCAACAAAAGAGGATGAAGGAAAGCTAGTTACCGAAGAGGAGAAACAAAGGAAACGATGGGCTGACCACTTCAAAAAGAACTTGAATCGACCACCACCACCACCACCACCACCACCACCACCACCACCACCACCACCATCACGCGCCAGGTCAGGCCCTCGAGTGGAGTCCAAAGGGGAAATGACGAGTTGGGTGTCCGAGGTGAGGGTGACATGGAGGAGATCGTGCGAGGAGGAGATGAGAGGTTGTGGGCAGTCGTGGTGCCAGGTTGAGAAGACTGCATAGAAGAGAGTGAAATGGAGACGTACTACTGAAGCCCTATGTTCCATTGTAACCCAAGGGATAAATAATAATTTTAATAATGCTTGCTATTTTCTGTGAGTAGATATGTCATTTAAACAGTCTTCGGATGGTCTCTTTAGAATACTGAAAGCTGTTTATGGATTTCAGAAATTATTCTGATACACTGTCAGATTAGATTTATTGTCAAGTTATTATTCCTTGGAGATAAGCTGTTCATGTATCAAATGTTTTCCTCTGCACTAAAGTATCTGAGTGACTTAAATGACATCCACTTTTCTATCTACCACTGCTGCTTGGTGTAATAATTCGATTGCTAAAGGAAATTAATCGGAGACCCGAAATTTATAACACAAACGCAACTCAACAAAGTGCTTACAAGTGCCGTATATTAGACGTTCAGTGGACGGCTGAGTTCGTAATTTCTTCTGTGCACAAGGTGCAAATAGATTGCAGGAATCGGAACTTTATGATCACTATCACTGCTTACAGTTGACTTTCATTCGATAGCTAAATGGCTCATCCGGTTAACGTGTGGATGGTAAGTTAGTATGAGGCATACAGTGCGTATCATTTCTCATTAAATGCACTAAATTTAATTCGTTTTTTTATTAGGAGTAAGATAAATGCTGTAGCGGCACGTATTTCCCAAAATCAATAGCCTAGGATTTGGCGAGATCCAACATTGATGCTGACCTTCATAGCTTTATCGGATTCTCTAAACTGAAGGCACACGGTCAAATATCCACGCCATTTGTCACGTTGTCGTGTTACGTTGCACTGCTTGTAGTCGACATTCTAGCCAGCTAGTCAGAATGCATTGGTATTTCGGCGCAACCTCTCAAAAATGCTATTCCATCTGATCATGCTATTGTGTTGTTCTTTGGTCTCGTATTTGTGGGTATATTACAAGAAAGAATAGTTATTGGTATGTGCGTCTATCAAGTTCGCTCAATGAACAATTTCTAAGTTGGTGGGCACATTTCTTTTTATACTTGTGTAAATTCGTTTTCATATTGATGACCTTATTTAACTCTATTCCATGTCCGATCATAATCCAAAACTTATCCACATTAGGCTTTAATTTACGGGACTTGTTGAATTTACACTTTTTTTCCCACACAAGGTTGACTAGACGTTATTTACTTGACTCAAATTTGAAAAAAACAAGGTCAGGGTGTTATGTCTTTGGTTTTAAACTCCCCAAAGTTTGCATTCAAAACTGTCTTCACGAATTTAGAGCGCTGATCAGCTGAAAATCCCTGAAACTCAGTTATCAAATTTGAACTTATTTTCAGTAGAACCTACTCAAATGTCAAAATGTATAAGGAAAGCGAAATGTCCAATTAAATATTACAATAAAACAATGAAACCATCAATATTAAATCACTACCACCTACTTTACTTTGAATAATTTCTGGTGCAAGGTATTCAGGAGTCCCACAGAGTGTATATGTCCTATATTTCACGTGTTTGACGAATCCGAAATCAGCGATCTAATAAATGTTAAGGTGAATATTGAAGCTTTACGTAAAAATGGTGATAAATATTTAACATTTGATAAACAAAATTGGCTAAAGTAAATAAGTATGCACACAATAGCAATAAATGGATATCATCTCAATCAAACTTTCTCTTAAATTCTTGTTTAAACCAGAGACTATCTTGAAAGCGTTTTAATATAAGCACGATGCACCCAAACATCAAATAAAAACTGAAAACCTATTTAACTTCCTGTAAAATTTGTTTACGTCCGATTGGTTGTTGAATTTTTCATAGTATTCAAATGGATGTTACTCAATCTTGTTTTGAATGATAAAGTTGACAATAAAGAACACATTAAATGGTTAACTTCTGTCAATTTCTTATAAACTCTTACAGTATACAAACAATTTCATGTTCTAACTCTTTTGATTTGTTGCAAACAATCTAAAGATCCTTTTCTTTGATAAGCAGTGTTGGTATTTATGCAGTACAACGTACCAAAACCACTCTAGAAATAAGTTTATCATAGGATCCAGAAATCATAATCGAAACACTTTGCACATACAATGTATTACAGAAGAAAGCATACCAAGGGGCACTCAGTATTTAACACAAATTCGACTATCCAACTATCGTAACATATGGTGCAAGCTTGAGAAAAGGACGTTGACCATTTATCAAGCACGCTAAAATTTAGTCATTCAGAAGCACAACGCAGCTGTAGTAGCTTCTGTCAGCAAAATTACCGCCAGTATTAATCATCTCAAGTAGTGTAACGCTACTGCTAATTTTTGACTTCACTTGGCTACAGCGTATCTATTTCATGCTTAAATTCAAGCAGGGCATTCTAATGCGCAATTTCAACCTATGAAATGTCTAGTGAATTGTATCATACTCAGACACATGTCTCAAATGAAGTCCAACTAAAATGGAGTAAAAGGATATTCTACAAGAACAGCATTTGCAGTGAAAAGCTGACCACGATAAATGATATGACCCAGGATGCCACAATGAAAGCATTTAAGTATCAGGATTTGATTGTGAAACGCTCCTTTATTGAGACATTAGAGCAGGTAATCTACAAGTTTTAAGGAGGTATCTAAATCAATTTAAATGGAGTATCAGTGTGTCCTTGGTTCTCAATAAATCAGAAACGATAAGTACTTCATAGTTACATCCATGGCTTAGCCTCGGAACCTTCTTGATTTTTTTAGTTTATAGAACTATATCTAGGCTAGTCTTTTTTTAAACCGATGATAGTAGTTATCAACGTCAGTTTAAAAAAAATATTTATGGCATTCCAGCACTAGCTAACACTTCGATAATCCTAACGAAAGAGCCTGAGTGAACACCCTTGAGAGGAATCAAAGTTAGCTCATCAGGATCTGCTACTTTTTACAGTTTAAAGTTATGTACGGGCTTTTCAAATTTGAAAAAAATTTAAAGTCCTTCTTCTATGTCCCTTGCAAGACTTACTTAAAGAGGGGACAATCTGATAAATATTTACATGGTTTCTCAAAGAGTTTTCTCATCACTGAATGCAACCTACTATAAGAGGAGAGTAATGACTTGCTTTTATCAAAGCCACTGTCACCAACTACCAACCTTTCAATCCAGCCTCCTTCATGAGTCTTCACTGACCCTACTTCAGTTTTCTAAAATTCCATGAGTTTAATCTCCCATTACAGCAGGAATTTTGTGTACTTACCCTTTGCAAGTTTGTATTCAAATTCCCTATGGTTTACATTCTGTTCAGCATCATGAGAAAGGAGCTCTGAGTGTGTGCTCAGCTTGGACAAAACTGTTCCGGGTAATTTACTTTCCCTAACCGTTTGATGAAGCTTATCTACAGCTTATGTTACTCTTTATACGTGGGGATGGTGTTCATTGTTGTGCCATGGTGACTACGTAGTTTCTTCTTCTCTATTCAAAGAACTGACTTTTTCATGTTCAGTATGAATATTTTCAGTGCGGTCGGAGGTAGTTTAAAAAAGACCTGAGGTCGAAATCTAAGCTTATACTTAAAAAGGTCAAAAGAAGACCTAGAGTTTGATGCTGGTGGTATGTTTTAAACAAATATGTACTTTGTATTTCTTATTATGTTGAGTATGGTGGTATTAGGTGAAGTACTTTTTCATCTTTTGTCTACAAAATATGGTCACCTAGAATAGGTCTCTACCACTGCAATTTGTAGCTAGTTAACAAGATCACTGATGTAGCTTCGAAGAGATCTTAATGTTCCATAGGAGTGGATTTCGGTCCAGTTACTTTTCTTTTCCTAAAGCTCAGATAGATATGTATTAAACTCATCCTATCACCTTTTTGAGATGCACTCAGTGGCTACCAAAAATATCACCCGTATATAACCCTACTGATTTGTTTTACTACTTCAGTAATCAGTAGAATGAGGTAAAAATCAGGATCAGCTTGAGTACAGTCAACAGATTGTATTTTTTTGTAAAGCATGACGCTATACCACCTATTGACCCAAGACCTGTTTAATGTTCAGACAAACCAAGGTCAGTCGTATAGACTAACTACAGTTTCAGGATTGGATCAATGGAATAAGATCACCAAAAAATTGCCAACGTATTGCAAAAACAAGTCACTCATACACACCTAGGGCTTGTAAAAGCTTATTTTCAGTGGGTGCTTAAGCAGGTGATACTTTGCGTGCTACTTAAACTGTTCAGAGGTGTTAGTCTTAGGAGCGTTACCATGGATTTTAACGGATTTTGATGGTGTCAGGTTCTCTGAGCTGGATGATTGAATCACTCTAGACTACATCATCAGCACTAACTTCAATGGATATTTTCTCGAAGCCAGTAACTAACATTCTTAAGGCTGACATTTAATCTCAATTTCATATGGCTAACCTTGATTCCGCTTACCCCTACTAGCACAAGTGAATTCATGAAACGTGTTCCAGTTAATGAAGGCAGACAAAGCTATCAACACTTCCTAACCCTGTATACAGAAGTTGGTAAGACTGGTAGGTAGCAGATAAAATTTAATAAAACGTCAGCACTCAGGATATGATTGCTGTTACAACTCTTTGGTGTTTGTAAAATTGGAGACACTTAGTGATAATATTCAAAATGTAAATCTTCCCTTCATAAAAGGTCATTGACACAGTGGTATCCAGAGTACAGTCATTTCCCGTTGAATTCTTAGGAAAATATTAACTTCAGTTTTCAAAACTGAATGTAAAGTGGTTTTTTTTAGTAGTTTCTTAAAAGTTTTAGATACTAAGAGTCAACTGGCAAGAAAATTGTGAACCTAGACTTCGTACTTGTTGACATTCATCAGCAATATTGTCTGTAACCACGTAGGAAATGGAGTCCTCCTGGCGTTTCAAACCTGTGTGAAAAAATGTCTAAGTCAAATACCCAACGATCTAACTATTCATGCCGAGACTGACTGCTGTAGTTCTGGATTGTGTACCAAAACTAGTCAACATTCGGTAGTCATTGTGACTGTCTAGTATTTATTGCCGACCACTGTTCTAAGTCAGTCATTTAAGGTTTGTAATATTTCGGATGGTAATAAAATCATTTGCTGATTATAATTCTTAGCTTTTCCCTTTTAGTATCGATAATGACAGAACAATCAAATGATGATTTCAGTTTGGAGAAAACATAAAGGCAGGCAAGAATGCACAACAGTCTCATCAACTAAATTTTAGAGCCTCTACCATGCAGATATCATTAACCCTACAAACTGTTCAAAAAAGTTTACTTAATACATAAAATTTGTTACTTGTTAATCGGTTATAAGTCGACAATAATGGCCTGGCTTTTCACTGGTGACAATTTGCAAGTGAAATTTAGAAATGCAGTAGTCTGAAAATATTTCTTATTTTTACAAGATATTAACTCCTTCCAAGTATCTCTTTATGTGGTTCTAAACTTCCAAAACTAGCTCTCAAGTCAGTTTTTTACAGTAGACGAAACAATGAGAAGACGTAACTTGTCTGAACCATGTTATGTATTCGCGCAATTCATTTTGAGCAATCTGTTCAAACACGTGATTATCATGCATATTTATACAAAAAATAAAAAAGAATAAATGGAATTAAAAATAATCGATGTTGTTAGGGGTTACGTTGATAGCCTAATAGCCACATCATTGATATCCAACTTCTTCTGCAGATAAACATATCATTGAAATGGGTCACAAGATAAGTAATTTAAATCTTTCAAACTTGTTTGTAAAGGCGATCAGAGGCCTACACGCTGGTTTGCTGAACTTCCTGTCATAAGAAATGATGCATCACTTTTACATATTCGAAAACCTTCCTTGGTAACTCATCTTAAATATCAAGAGTGATTTAAATATTATCTTTCGTTGCGAAGAAATTGTGATATCACTTCATTAGGTATACGATGTCAGTAGATATCCCTTTACAACACTTAATTAACATTTGACATCAGTAGTCAGCACAAAACAACAATTTATTAAACTTAAAAATTACTTCCTGGTTTCATTAAATACACTTCGTCTTTTTTTCTAGGCATTTAACTCATTAATTAATAATGCGAAGTAAACAAGTCGTTTCAACCTATGCCACAACTCAATGTGCATGCACTTTCAATATTTTTTGTAGACTGATTCAATGTATTTTATCATAGATAATTTGAACTGTTTGTGCTAAGATGACACACAAAACTGGAGCGTTATACATTCATTCATTCAACTAACATCAGTCTCAGTGCATCACGATGTTAAATCTCCTAACCTGGGGGCCACATTGCAAAATGGTTGATACAACTCAGTCACCATTTTGAACCAGACAACCTGAAGTTGGTTATCCTCCAGTGACCAACCAATATACCTTATATGGTCTACTGGGATTTGAATCTTTCCATGTAGTGTACGTAATCTCCTGCAATATAAAATAAGTTTCATTCAGAATTTCGGTATGCATTTTTTCAGTTAGCAGAGATACATTCATCTGTTCGATGTTAAGGTTCATGTATGAGATTATCACTAAAAAGAAAACCGGTTTAAT